TCAGTTCCACATGGCAGCTCACAACCATCTATAATTTCAGTCCCAGGAAGTCTGGTGTCTTCTACCATCATCAGGCATGAATACATGTGCAGGTAAACACCCTTACACATAAAATGTGTATGTGTTAGGCATAGTGTCACTCCATTAATCTCAGCACTCAGGAGGCAGAGGCAGGCAGATCTTTGGAATTCCAGACTAGCTTGGACTACATAGTGAGATCATGTCTCAAGAATGGGCAATTTTAAGTCTTACTAGCTTACTTCCTGTGTGTCCCCACTTTGCAGGAGTGATGGCAAAGTAGGTGTGACCCCATCCAAAAAAAAAAAAAAAGCCCAAGTGAAAAGCAACTTTTTCATAGTGTTTAAACCATCTATATTGATGTTCCTGAGGTGGGTTCACGCAATGGGTTTACTGGTTTCTCTGCTTTTGCGGGGTTGGTGTTTTGTAGACCAGGCTGTCCTCGAACTCAGAATCCACCTGCCTCTGCTTCCTGAGTGGTAGAATTAAAGGCCTACATCACCACTGCCCAGTTTTTTTTTTGTTTGTTTGTTTTTTTGTGGGTTTGTTTTGTTTTGTTTTTCAGTTTTTGTTGTTTGGTCCTGGGAACTGAACAAAAGGCCTGTGTGCTACATGAAAACAGTACAACTGAGCCATGCTCCAGCCTGTGGGGTGTTCGTAGACTAGCTTCACAGAACAATAGCGTGCTGAAATGCTCTTCCTTGGATTCATTCTGTTAAACCGGATTGTCTCTCCAGAGCCTGAGTCTTGGCTTTGAGGACAGGATTTTGTAGGGTGGACTCCTGTGGTGATTTAAAATACCTGTGGTGATTTAAAATACCTGTCTTTTACCCACTTGTTTAACTTTGTATTGGTATAGGCAGGTGTGTGTTCCTGCAGTGTCTGGAAGAGGTGTTGGGTCTACTGGAGCTGTTATTTTTGTTGTTGTTGTTGTTGTTGTTCTATGTGTACTGCAGTTTTTCCTGTATGTTTGTATCACGTGCACTCCAGGCTGGCAAAGGCCAAAGGAAGGAGCCAACATATGAGAGCTCAGGGTCAGACCACCCTCCGGAAGAGCAGCCAATGCTCTTATGAACACAAGCTACCTCTCTGGCCCTCAGACTTAATTTAAGCATGCTCATTTTGCCTAAATATGCATCGAGTACCCATAGAAGAGTTGAATCTCTTGGAGATTACAGCTTGTTGTGAGCTCTTATATGGGTACTGGGGTTTAAGTCCAAGAACCTCTTCAAGGTCAGCAGTTGTTTTTTTTTTTCATAAAGGTGACCCACAGTATTGAAGACACAATGTAACAGCTCAGCAGGTAAGGACATTTGGCTGCCTGCCTGACATCCTGAGTTCAATCCCTGGAACCCACATGGTTGAAAGAAACTGACTCTCACCAGTGTCTTCTGACCGCCCCATGTGTCTACTCACACAAATATAAACTTAATTTGGGAAACAAGAAATTTGACTATAGCCAACTCAGTCCCTGCCATATATAAATTGACTGCATCCAAAGCACTCTCTGTAAAATGTCAGATACCCAAAAGCCAACAGCTCTGTGATAGATAGCTTTGTGATGTTGTATCCGAGTCTGGATTCCTTGGAGAGATACAATAAGTGATTAGCAGAACAGTTGCTGTCCCAGCTTGTCTCTGAAAGGAAGAAGAGACGCCCAGAATACCAAGAGCCCTTGCGGTTGGTAGAAGTCTCATATGTTGTACTATTGAAATAAAGAATAGGCTCACTACTAAAGCACATGCCTTTAGTGCTAGCACTCAGAAAGCAGAGACAGGTGGATCTTTGAATTTGAGGCCATCCTGGTCAACAGAGCTGAGTTTAAAAGGAGAGAGAATGATCACGCCCCACATGGAGGGGCAGAATTCTAGTCTACAGGACTGAGTTAGAGATAATGGTCACTGTGGCATGTGGTGGGGCACAGTTCTAGTCTTAACCTGGGGATGCTGAGGAGAGAATCACAAGTTCCAGGCCAGCCAGGACTACGTAGCAGGAGTCTATTTAAAAAAAAAAAAAATCAAATTTACTTCATGAGCTAGGGGTGTGATTCAGCATTAGAGTGCCTGCCAAGCATGCCCAAGGTCCTAGCTTAGTCACCAGTACAGTGAAATGTCACAGCCCAAGCTATCCTTGATACACAGTGTACTGAGGATGATGGCAATTCCTGATCTGCCTCCACCTTCCAAGTATTGGGATTAAGTCTTTAAAACCAAGGCTGCACAGAGAAAAACCCTGTCTTGGTAAAAACAAAGCATGGTTCAGGGATAAGCTGTGCCTCATCAGTTAAAGGCATTGGCTGTTATTCCAGCATGATGGCTCACAGCAGTCTAACTGCCATTGTGGCCTCCAGGAACCAGGCACATGAGTGTTGGCAGAACACATTACACATAAGTGCTTCAATAATTCTACCTATTCCAGAGACTGAAGCAGAAGGGTTGCAAGTTCAAGGCCCATCCTATGTATAGCCAAGAAGCAGTTTGGTTTTGTTTTTTTTTTAATACTTTATATAACTTTATGTGCATTGTGTAAGGATACCAGATCCCCCTGGAACTGGAGTTTAGACCGGTGTGAGCTTCCATGTGGGTGCTGAGAACAGAACCCGGGTCCTCTTGAAGAGTAGCCACTGCTCTTAAACACTGAGCCATCTCTCCAGGCCCCCAAGAGGCATTCTTAAAATGAAAAATTAGAAAGGGCTTGGGCACCTATGTGTGGGTGCCCTAGGAGGCAAGAAGAGGGCATAGAGCAGGGTGGTGATTGGTGCACGCCTTTAATCCCAGCACTTGGGAGGCAGAGGCAGGGGGATGTCTGAGCCTGGTCTACACAGTGAGTTCCAAAGGCTACACAGAGACGCTGTCACAGAAAAGGGGGGTGTCCAAAGGACGAGGGTTACAAGTAAATATGCCAGGGACTTGAGGTAGATGCTGAATTGTTAGCAAGGTGTGGGGAGGAGCCCAGCCATGAACACTAGCTCTGCCTTGGGGGGTCTCTTCCTCCCCATCTGACCCCATGGAAATGTCTTGGAAACTGAGTATGCCAGGCACTTTGTGGCTGGCATAGATTTCCAATGGCACTATCTTCAATGGTCCCAGGGTGGAGGAGTGGAACAATGTCCTGAGCTTCCTGTGGGTCTCTTGTTAATGGCTCTCATTGCCTGTGCTACTTTGGTTCACCACTTGGTGGCAGCAGAAGGCCCAGAGTGGGAAGAAACAGACCTCGACCACTAGGGCAAGTTCCCAGGTACTAAAATATTAAACTCACCAAGCAGACGGTAGGGTGGGACCATTCCTGCTTTGAGCCTTAATGTAACCAGCAGGTGAACATTGTGTTAACATTTTCCAAGTTCCAGGGTGCACTGAGCTAGGTAGGTTGTTGATCCTTGTCCCTTGGGGCAATGGTGCCTGCTGGCCTCCTTTCTACCCAACACCTGGAGCAGCCTCCCTAAGCGGCAGGTGATGACTGAGAAACAGCTCTGGGGGAGAGGGGAGTACATGGCACAGTCCATAAAGCTCTCCAAAGCCAGAGGATCTGGGCTTGGATCCCCAGCACTCAGTGACACTGGGAACAAACACTAATGTCAGCACTGAGGACAGGGAAACATGGCTATCTGGAGTTTGCAGGGCCAGCCAGCCTGGACTGCTTGGTGAACCCCAGGTCAGTGAGAGGAAAGTCCAGGTGGAAGCTGGTAAAGTCCCAGCACATGGCAAGAAGCAGGTGGGTCTCAGTTCCTAGGCCAGCCAGGACTACATAGTGAGACATAAAGACAAAAAAATAAAAGCACTAGGTGGTCTAGCAAGGTGGCTCAGTAGGCAAAGGTGCTTCCCACTAAGGCAGATCATGAGTTCTATCCCCTGGGAAGGCACTCAGAAGGCTGACTTCCGGTCTCTACTCACATACCCTCTCCCCCTACACACAAAGAGGCAGGTGGGGGCCCTATCCAGCTGTTTCTAACACACTGATCCTTTGTTCCATCTGCTGTCTTTGTGCCATCCACCACATGTCTCTTCCTTGTCCCCCATGTCCCTTATCTTTTTCTGTCTGCCCTTTTGGTGTTTGTTCTATGGGATTCTGCTGCTCTAATCTTGTCTTCCTGATTCCCACTCTGAGATCTCTGTGGGTTCTGGCAGGACACTGGCTTCGCTTCCTCCAGCCTCTGGTTGTCTGTCTGCATAGCTGTCTTTCTCTTTCTGGTCCTCTCCTGAACTGAGCATCTGTATCTCCCACCTCTGGTGTCTGTGGCTCTCTCTCTCTCTCTCTCTCTCTCTCTCTCTCTCGTGTGTGTGTGTGTGTGTGTGTGTGTGTGTGTGTGTGTGTGAACTCTTGGGTTGACACTGCCTCTCTTCTCTGTGCCCCCTGGGGCCTGTGTCTGTGCTTTCGTTTTGGTGTGTGCTGTGTGAGTCCTGGGCTTTCTGTCCTCTTTCCGTGCCTATCTCTCACTTCCCATTTCTCCTGAGTCTTTCTTTTTTTTACCCCACCCCAAGTGAGTGTGTGTGTGTGTGTGTACATGTATATCAGGACAACTAGCAGATATCAGTCAGTTCTCTCCCACCATGTGATTCCTGGTGATAGAAAGCAAATTGTAAGGCTTGGTGGCAAGTGCGATTACCCAGCGAGCCATCTTGCTGGCCTACCTTCCTTGTTTTTGATTTTTGTTTGTTTTGAGACAAGGTCTCACTATGTAGTAACCCTGGCTGGAACTCACTATATAGACCAGGCCTCAAACTCAAAAGAGATCTGCTTGCTTCTGCCAAGTACAGGCATTTAAAGGCATACACCACTATGGCCCGCTCTTCTCTATCTCTATCTTTTTCTGTCTGCCCCACCCCTTTTGTCACTAGCCAGCCGAGCAGTCCGGCCAAGGCGGATGTGCGAGGATGATTCAGTAGTGACAGGAAGCCCCCCGCCTTGCCTGCTGCCCGCCAGAGTCTGGTGTTGGCATTGGCTTGGGCAGGTGTGCCGGCACAGGATGGGGTGGCCATGGTGAGGAACCCCCACTCTCAGGTAAGCATTTCCCAGGGGTGCCCAGCTGAGCAGGTGTCCCCTGCACTATCCCCCACAAGACCCTTAGTAGCTATGGACTAAGCGGTGGCTGGGACACCTGATTCCTCCTGCCCTGGCCGGGCACTTTGGCCCGTTGGGGGCAGCCTGTTTTAGGGGCTCCAGGCACCTACCTACTGATCATTGTCTTCCCAAACCCCCAGCCTGTGAGACCCTAGGGGGGTTCTGTCACTACCAGTGACTGGGGAGGGCCAGCCAAAAGCCAGAAATGAACTCAGTTTCTCCCATCAGTGAAGAGTTATCTAATGCCACAGGCCTGTGGGTGAATCTGGGATGCCCTGGGGAATTGCCCAGGCAGGCCCTGTCCCAGCCAGGAGGCGGAAGTTGCTGTCCCCAAAAGTCCACCCAAGCCTGACCCAGGTTCGTACCTTCTGATGGCTCACCCCTGTAGAGCTGGTGGGTTCTTTGGTTCTGGTAGCCCAGGTTGGCCAGGTTCCATGCACCCAGCCTCCACCACCACCACCATTGGCCTGGAAAAGGGCCTGCCAGACCTCTACACATGACCATACACACACACCCACACACACCCACACACACACACACACACAACTCACCTGGCCCTCTGGCCTCCAATAGGTTTTTCAGAGTCCTCTCTCCACTCTCATTTGAAGCCCCAAATCCTTGGTCCATGCAGGTAGAGATTGTGGTGCACTCCTGTAATCACAGCACTAGGAATGCTAAGGTGGGGGTACAGGAGTTCAAAGCCAGCCTGTACTCCATAATGAGACCCTGTCTCGAACAAACCACAGAAATATTCAGCTAAAACCACAGGCCCCAGAGTAGCATGAATACAGCCATCCAGGATTGTGTGATTGGTCGTACTCATCTGAGCAGACCCTGGTGGCCTCTGTTCCCTGAAGGGTGAGTAGTTGCAGAGTAATCACTAAGGGCCGTTGAGGCTAGTGGTTCAGAGGCTACAGTCAAGAGACTGGCCCTGTGCAAACCTTGTTCATATGAAAACTGCCCACTTCCCTTTGAGCTATTTTGGCCTACACGGAGCCACAGAGCTGTGGCAGTCCCCCATACACCCACAGCCAGCCCTGCCTGGCCCCTTGGGGCCTTGTGTGACTCGTGGGTTGCCCCTCCTGCAGACCCAGCCTCAGTTCCCTCAGCCCACCTGCTGTCTGTAGAGAGCATGAGCACACAGAGTGGAGGGATTCATTGGGCCTACTCTGGATTTCCATCACTGTTACTCTTACTGTGGTTCTCTCTGGCACAGTATGCACCTCCTTGAACCCTGTATGCACCTTTGAGCTCCCTGGGAAGAAGACAATTGGGATCAGAGGAATCCCCAACTGAGAAGCAAGGCCCAGACCCATACACTCACACTGGCTCTTTTTGCTTTGTTTTCCAATATTTTAATCCATTTTTAATTATTGGATGGATGGGTGTGTACCACAGTGTAGGTCAGAGAATAACTTGTAGGAGTGAGTTCTCACCATGTGGATCCTGTGGATCGAACTCAGATCCTCAGACTTGGAGGCAAACTCCTTTCTTTCTTTCTTTCTTTCTTTCTTTCTTTCTTTCTTTCTTTCTTTCTTTCTTTATTAGTTCAAGTTAGGGAACAAGCTTGTTTCACATATAAGTCC